AAAAGGCCAGAGGGGAAAAAAAAACAAACTAGGAAAAACTATGCAAATACCTTTGTCCTTGCGTACCCTCTAGTGGCTGTGCAAGGTTATGCTGGCCTCACACTAACTGAGCAGGCAATTTCCTCAAGAAGACAGAATGCTTACCTCTGCAATAGTTCTCTTCAACAGACAAAGCTTCATGAGATCAGGGTTCTGAGCAGGCACAGGTATGGATTATTTGAAGCGTTTTAAGTTTACAACCAACTCTCCCTTGTTAGCTTAATCCAACGAATCCAGGGTTTCCACTTAAAAAGTGGTAAAACACATCAAGCTATTCGCATAGCAAGCATGCAGGGCATGTGCCTGTGTTACACTGCCACATACATGCAGGCTGCACGCAAACTGCAGCAATGTCAGTAAGTTCAGCTGAGCATTAGTTCTCCAGGAGCCCTCCAAAGGTGGAAACAATCTGATACACAGGCTGCAGAGATCACAGCAATGAACTGCTCAAGAGTATTGTACAACCATGCTTTCAACTAGAACAGGCTGTTTTGCCTGCATGTGCTAAAGAATTAGATTACCTCAGAGACCAAAACTGTCATCTAGTGTAAGAACACTCAGCAAGCAAACCACTAGCATTTAATTTAGTACAGCTTAAACAAACACAAAAGATTGTACAACAGACATTTAAAATAAATCCACAAAAAACCACCCCCCACATCCAAACCCTCCAATAAATAAAGACAAAAGTCTGTACCCAAGTCAAGGCACCAAGTCCTCTCCAGGACGAAAAAACAATAATCCTCATTAAGTTATCACTTGGCAAAAGCATATAAACCACATTCTATTTTATTGATGGAACATGCAGTTGGTGAAACAGGAAAATAACACCAGCCAAAAGGACAATATACAGAGTAGGTTTTTAGCACCTCATGACTGTTTCTTCATTAACTGAAGATGCAACAGCTAGTTGCATCATTCAACTAATGATGCTTGTCATTACACAGTGCCGGAAGAAACACCTTGGCAACTGCTGAAGTGTTCAGCCTTCAAAAAATCACTACACAATTTGGGCAGGAGGAAAGTATTTCTGAGGCCTATCATTATGCTGTGCCGTATAAATAGGTACTTAGACTACCAACATGATGAAGGCACCGAGTGAAGCAATTATATACCAATACCTACATATTAATTGTGAGGAAAAATCAAAACACTGTGTTGAAATGACATGAGTAATGCGTGTTCAAGATGAAGACTTCACGAAGAATAGAACACACATAACAAATGTACAACATGTCAGAAGTGGACTGAATCCCAGGCTACACGTACAATAAACATCCCTTTTAATAAAAAGGAACTTTTATCTTCAGTACAGCATATAGACTGACAGAGCTGTCCAGTCCTCCAGACACCTTTGAAATAGTTTCCCTTCAGATACAGCAATTGAGAACTCAGCAGCAAGAGAACTGGATCTACTTTATAGATGGCAGATGCAGATTTTTTTCTGTACCTCAGATGTACATCAGAAAAAAAGCTACATGATCAGACAGCCTAGACAGCCTAGGTAGCTCTTCTTTTTTGCTGTTCATCTGCATCATTTTTATAAATGTACAGTCATAAGCAGAAATGCAAAAAATCCTTCTTTCTGTGTGTTTACAAGTTGAGTTTAAGAAAGTTAATCCCTTTTCCATTTTTGAAAACAACACCTAAACAATTGTATTGCTTGTAATTCATCCCCATGCCTGGGTTTTACAATAATGCAGTACAAGCTTGCCATCACTTCCAAAACACTGCAAGAAAAAACAGAAAACAAAATAAGAGCTGTTAGATTATTCATGGGCTAGCTTATACATGAAGGAAAACAAACAAAAAAGCCCCTCAACAGATAACTGTGTCACGGAATACTGTAACTTATAACAAAGCTCTCCATTAGAATGGAATGCATGACAACACACTGCATGTAAAGTAACACATTTCCAGAGATTGGTATGAAGTCATGTCTCTTTATATGATACCCATACAGATCTGTGAGTATCAACCATATTATATTAAATACAAGGCATTGCCAGCATAGGTAGGGGCAGTAACAGATTTCAAGTACCAGAAGTGTACTGTCAAGTTCTGCTAAGCACATTTGGAAAGGATATTTAAGATGAAAGTCACCTCATAGAGGGTCCCAACTTCTTGGTCTGGAGATGGAGCAAAAGACTGGTTTACATATATGAACTGCAAGAAAAGAAAACAGAAGATGGAGATCTCCCACAGATCACATAGAAGAAATATTCTGCAGCCAGAGCTGGATACATCTGTCATAATTTTATAATCTTTACAGTCCACACCAAAATGCCACGAAGTAGTATTTTCACTTCAGTGTGGAAGGGCAACATGACTTCTGGGAGTCACCTCTGACTGTCCAACCAGACCAAGCCACAGCAAGCATGCTGACTGCCTTCTCCTGCAAGTTGATCCCTTAGTCTCCCATACAGCAGCATGAAGTGAACTCACTGGTTTAGTTCTTGCTCTTCTTTTAAGTACCCAAACTATTCCTGCTATTTCAAATTTGTTCATTTAGAACAGCAGCCATAGAAATTAGGATTCTTTTGTTCTCTTTTAAAGTCATCTTTCTCACTTCCTGCTCCAAACATATATATGCATACAGTAGCCTGTCCACAATGTCAAAGAGGGCCTTGGGATCTGCAGTGTGAGATGGCAATGTGAAGTAGAGTATTATGTGCTATTTCCAAAAAAGAGTTTAAAAACTCCCATGGCTATGTTCCTGAAGTATAACCTTAAGCTTAAATCACACTGGATGACTCCATGCTCCTGTATTTTTTTCCTGAGACACTGAGATGGCAGCTAGTTAATTAAACTGTTGAGAATACCCATGAATAGTAAGAACGTGAACTATTACTCCTCTTTGAGATATTAGCCCTGGGAAAAAGAAAGCCTTCATGATTTCCCAGTGAAAGAGGTGGCTACTGGAACTGTTTATGACTATATGCTTAAATAAGAGCCTCCAGACCAAGAGCAGAGAGATGTCATCTACACTTTAGCTACACGTTTGACTGTCTTAATGAGTCTAGCTTTAACTTTATATCTTAACAACCACGCACTCCAAGGTTTGATTTAAGAGTTTACTGCTAATCACAAAATTAGTACAACCATATTTCTGAATCTGTTCCAGCTCTTCCAATGTTATCAGGTGGCCACTTGGTCTCCCAGGAAGGATCAGAGAAGGCAGTAATGTGCTGCCAAACTGTGAACATTTCCAAGCTATCCATTTTAAAAGACAAATCACTCCTAGGACAGTAACTAAACTGTTTGAGAAGTTCTGAAGGAAACAGACATTACTGTTCAGAAAGCCAACCCTAATCCCTTTAGACTTTTCCCCAAATATTCCTTCTGCCTACCCAACTTCTACGGTTACACTGTGCATAGGAACCTTTCAGTGAATGCATCACTGCACAACATGCACACAGCTCTGCTCATCAGCATAAGACAAGAAGAAATCGAGACACTGCAAAAACACCAAAGGCTGGAGCTGAGCACCCAAGCACATTTAAACCACACCACTACAGATCATCTCAATGTTACACTGTGGTGGTGCCCTAGTTTCAGCTGGGAAGGAATGAGTTTTCTCTCTAGTGACTGCTGTGAAAGGAATGTCAATAATACCTATTCGTTTTAGCTGTTGCTAAGTGATGTTTGTACCATTCAAGGACTTTTTTAAGCTTCCCATAGAAGCTTAAAAAAAGAATGGAATGACCAATTAAATACTCCACACCATCGATGTATGGGGGATAAAGGGGGGACGGCAATCACTGCTCAGGATGGTGCCAATTCACCAGGCAGTGAGAGTGAACCATGTCATTATTATTTTTCCTTTTCTGTTATTGTTTTGATTAAACTATCTTTATCTACACCCACAAGGCTTTTTTTTCCTCCCTTTTCCCTCCTTTCTTCCCTCTTTTCCCCGCCCTTCTTCGGGAGGGTGTGTGTGTGTGTGAGGCGGGAGGAGGGGGCGCGTAGGGGGAAGAGGGGGTGTGAGCTAGCAGCTGCGTGGTTCTAGTTGCTGGCTGGGGTTAAACCATGACAGATGTGTACTTTGAATAGTTTTACTAGTGCCCCTGTGCCAAGTTTCCTGCTAAAAGCCATAGCCGAGATTCAAAGAATCCCCCAGCAGGGTGTGGGAGCTTGGACCTAGGGCGAGCAGAGCTCCCTGTCATGGCTGGGTCCCGGCCTCCCGCTGGGTACATCGGACAGGCCAGGCGGGCCACCAGGTACACCTGCCCCTACCAGCTGCTCGGAGGCCATCAGCTTGAGGAACTTCTTGATGAAGTCAACGAGGCCTTGGATGGTCCGGGTCCGCTCCACGGCCCACTTCTTGGTCTTCATGATGGGGGTGTCGCCCACGGCCTTCAGCAGGATGTCAACTGCGGGGGAGGGGCACGCGTTAGGGCCGCCCACCCACCCCCTCATTGGCCAGATCCCCCCGCTCCCGCCGCCGATTGGCCAGCGCGCCCGCCCGTCACCGCACGCTCCCGCCCGCCCCCCGGCGGTGACTTCTCGCCCCATTACTTTTCTTTTTCGTGTCACCGGCGGGCTCTTCGGTGCCCGGCGACCCAGCCGCAGGGGGGGCCGGG